GAAACACCTTCCCAGTAAGCTGAACCCTGTTTAAGGTGAATTTTTGCTGCTAGCCTCTGACAGAACTAACTTCTGAAAGCACTGGTTTGCATTTTAGGCCAATGAAGGACATTAAAGGGCCCAAGAGAGTGGGTTTTTCAGAGTGGTGTGTGATGTGGGTATGAGCACTCAAGGACCTCCAGTCTGTGAATGAGAACTTGAAGCTTCCCCCTGCAGGAACAAGGCTAGTAAAAGTGATGCTCTGAGATGGCTCAGAGGTTAAGAGCACTAGCTGCTCTTGCAGAGGACCTAGGTTCAATTCCCAACAGCCCATGGTGGCTAACAACCATCCATAACTCCAGTTCCAGGGGATCCAACACCTTCTTCTGATCTCTGAGGGCACTGCATGACACAGGTGCACTTATACACATGTAGGCTACACACACATATAATTTTTTTTAATTTTATTTATTATTTTTATTTTATGTGTATGCACAGCTAAGCTCCAGCTCCATCCCACAGCAACTTTTCCACGAGGTCCCCACCCTGCCCAAATACTCTTCTTCCTGACAGTTTTTGCAGCTATCAGGAAACCATCTCTGTCACAGAATGCAGATCCCACCCTCAATGACAGAGGTGACTCCTGATTGACTAAAATGGGTCTCGGTGTTATCAATCATCCCTCTTCCTTGCTACAGATACAGCACAGCCACATGACATGGAGGATGGATGGGCCACAGAGAGTGGAGCATCTAGCATGTTCTGTGTGTACAGGGCCTGCAGAATCACAAGTACAAGCTAAAGGGTCTGGAGAGATGGCTCAGTGGTTATAGCTATTGGCTGTTCTTGCAGAAGACTTGGGTTTGAATCCCAGCACCCATATTGTGGCTAAAACAACTGCCCGTAACTCAAGCTCCAGGGGATCCAATGTAGCTCTTCTGTCCTCCGATGGCACTTGCTTAATTATCACATGTACTTTTATGTGTATGCGTGTATTGCCTGCATGTAGGTAAGTGCACCCATGTCATGCAGTGCCCGCAGAGGACAGAAGAGGTTGTCAGATCCCCTGGAACCGGAGTTACGGAGAGTTGTTAGAAATCCCAGCACTCAGGGAGCAGAGGCAGGTGGATCTCTGTGTGTTGGAGGCCAGCCTAGACTACATAGCAAGTTCCAGGACAGCCAGGGTTACATGGAGACCCTGTCTGAAAACAACAAAAATAATTTTAATTACTTTTATTATTAATGTGCCTGTACTTGGATGTTTGAAAATCAAAGGACAACTTTTGGGAGTCTATTTCCCAACACCCCCTTTTTCTTGAGACATGCCCTGTAGCCCCCAGCTGGCCTGGAACGCACTATATAGACAGGCTGGCCTTTAACTCACAAAGATGCACCTGCCTCTGCCTCTCCAGGGCTGTGATTAAAGGCCTGCACCACCACCATGCCCAGCATGGGAGTCTATTTTCTCTTTCCACCATAAGAGTTCTGGGTATATGCCAGGCATGGTGGTGCATGCCTTTAATCCCAGCACTCGGGAGGCTGAGGCAGGAGGATCTCTGTGAGTTTGAGGTCAGCCTGGTCTACATAGTGAGTTCCAGGCGAGCTGGGGCTATTGGGAGACCCTGTCTCAAAAAAGACAAAAAAAAAAAAAAAAAAACAGTTCTGGGTATTGGGGCTGGAAAGATGACTCAGCAGTTAAGAGCACTGGTTGTTCTTTCAGAGAACCCGGGTTCTGTTCCCAGCACCCACATACCCACATGGCTGCTAACAACTGTTCCTAATTTCAATTCCAGGGAATCTGACATTCTGACCTCTGTGGGCATTTCATGACACAGGTGCACTTACACACATGCAAGCAATACATTCATACACATAAAATTAAAAAAAAAATTAAAAAACTTAAGAGTTCTGTGTATTGAATTCAAGACATCCATCAGGCTTAGCAGCAAGTTCCTTAACCCACTGAGCCCCCCACCCCCAGCCCCAAGTTTGGAATCTTTGTTTATCTAGCACTGGGAATTGAATCCAGAATATCCACAAGCTGTGCATGGAGCCATAATCCCAGCCCCTCACTGGGGATTCTAGGCTGTCACTCTACCCCTGAGCCAAGCCCCCAGCCCCACTGGGGATTCTAGGCTGTCACTCTACCCTGAGCCACGCCCCCAGCCCCTCACTGGGGGATTCCAGGCTGTCACTCTACCCCTGAGCCAAGCCCCCAGCCCCTCACTGGGGGATTCAAGACTGTCACTCTACCCCTGAGCCACTGAGCCACACCCCAGAGTGAGGGATTCTAAGCTTGTCACTCTACCCTAAGCCATGTCCCCAGCCCCTCACTGGGGATTCTAGGCTGTCATTCTACTCCTGAGCCATGCCTCCAGCACCTCACTGGGGGATTCTAGGCTGTCACTCTACCTCTGAGCCATGCACCCAGACCCTCACTGGGGGATGATTCTAGGCTGTCACTCTACCTCTGAGAGCCATGCACCCAGCTCTCTTCTTTTTGAGACAGGGTCTCCCTGTAGCTCCAGTTCTCCTGGAACTCACTTGTAGATCTCTGTGGAACTCCCAGAGATCCACCTGCCTCTGCCTCCCAAGTGCTGGGATTAAAGGCATGCGCCACCACACCCGGCGCTCTCTTCACTTTTTATTTTGAAACAGGATTTCATCAAATTGCCCTTGTGATTCCCCTGCATCAACTAACCCAGTGGCTGGGATGACTTGTCCCCATTAACTAGACAGGAGCCTACAGAGCTCACATGGAAGGCAGCTGCCTGCTCAGTGTGGAGACAATTGAAGCCAGAGTCTGAGGAGAGCTGGGGGAGGAAGGAGAGCACATTTCCAGATGTGGCCTCTCAAGAGCCCCTGGTCCTTCTGGGAATGACACACCATCACCTAGGGTAGACAGGCTTAGGGAGAAAATGTCTTTCTTCAAATGACAGCAACAATATAATCACCTGGTTACCAATGGAACCCTGGAGGCCACAGCACCTCAAGGCGACAGGTGTAGAGGAATGGAACTCCCAGGAGGCAAGCTCTTTTGTGGCTCAGAGAGGTCAAAGTGTCTTTCCCAGGGTCACACTGCAGTGGGTGGCATGGTGGGAGTTGAACCCAGGCCCACCGGCGCTGAGGTCTTTTAACAAGTACCTGGTGGAGGGTAACTCAAATAAATGTTGATATAAACGGATCCTGGAGCTGCTTCAAGTCACTGACCACCAGGCTTGGCTCTAGAGGTAACTAGTTCCCAGTTGATGGAGCCCTGGCGCCCTCCGGTGGTTAGCGTAGGAATTCTGGGCCAGTAGTCACGTCGAATGCCCCCTCCCTGCAGGAAGCCCAACTCCAACCAACTCTTATTCACTCCGCATGCCCTGGGTCCAGTGCCCTCTTCTCACCTCCCCCAGCCCTTCTGGTATCCAGGTCACTCTAGGGTCCCATCCTGTCACTCAGCCCCACGGGGCTGGGCTGTTTGTGGGCATCCTATATTGGATCTGCTATACTATTGGTGCTCAATAAATATTGAATGAGTAAGGAAATAAATACAGAAACTAACGTCAGAAACATTCTGGGCCTGGGCTGGGAGATGACACAGGCCTGTGTATATGCAGGGGGTATACCGAGATACCAGCTGCCGTGCAGGCTAGGCTAGGCTAGAGGGCCCTCCTTCTCCCAGGGAATAGATCCCGTCAGCGTATGTGCCACAAATGTTTCTGGGACGCCTGGTGTATACCGCTCATACACAATACTTCCTTCGGCTGGCTTTACTGTTTATCTGGTGCAGGTAAGGGTGTGGAGAGGGGAGCTCTAGAGACTTATAGACACGAGAAAGAAAGCTGCGGGGTCTGGGGACCGTGCATCGGAGGGCCACAGCCAGTGCGAACGAGTATCTGCAGGTGAGCGCCCATGAGGGCGATGGACAGCGGTAGAAGAGGGACAGGGTGGCCAGAAAGAGAAGGCTCCGCACCTCGGCCTCCTGGGTCCAGAGATGGTCCCGCCCCCGAGGGCAGTTGCCAAAGAGACCAGGTCCCACCCCCTTTCAGGTGACGCCCCTCCACCAACTTTGCCACAAAGCAATGATTTTCGCCAGCTCCACCTCCGATCCTGGTTGCCAAGGAGACGGGCCCACTCCCCAGCTCCTTGCCGGCTTTCAGGCTGAGACACTGTCCCATCCTGGTTGCTAAGGAGACAGCTCCGCCCCAAGCCGACCACGCTCACAGTTCCACCGCCCACAGCATCACAGCCTGGTTGCTAAGGAGACGGCCCCGCCCCCCGAGACCACGCCCCCAGCCCCTCCTATGCCCTCAGACCTGTCTAGCAGCGCAATCTGGTTGCTAAGGAAACGGCTCCGCTAACAGGCCCGCTTCACGCAGACGTTCAGGACCCATATCGGAATTCCTAGGCCGCCACCAGGCTTGACCCCACCTCCGCTCATGGGTAGCACGGAAACTCGGCCCCTCCTCGTGCAGCGTCAGTCTTGGACCCTACATCCTTCCACTGTGAGCCGCTACTGGCCCCGCCCCTTAGGTTATCCTCCTCTAGAGTCGTTCCCCTTCTAGCTCCCCTCCCCCTCACGTCCCCGCCTCCTTTCCTGGTTGCCAAGGAGACTAGACCCACCCTTCTAAGAAAGGCACCGCCCCCCGACCAACTGCGCGGCCCTAGTCTTATCTCTACCTCCTTTTGTGGTTGCCAAGGATAGTCGGCTCCGCCTTCTACGGTATAGGTCCCGCCCCCTGGACCTCTCTTCCCTCTCAGTCACCCACTTTCCCACCTTAGTTCCTGGTTGCCGAGGCGATTCGGCCCCGCCCCTCTGAAGAAGGCTGTTCCCTGAACCTCCCCTCTGTCTTCAGGCCTGGCCCTGCCTCCGTTCCTGGTGGCCAAGATTTGTCCGGCACCTCCCAGAAAGGCCCCGCCCCTCGGCCTGGAGCCCCGATTTCCTGCAGTTCCTACTTTGTCCTCGGACGGCCACCGTCCTCTGTGCGCAGCCCACCGCTCAGCACGCTGCTCGCGTAGTTTCGCGCGCCCCACGCTTGCCGTGCGTGCCGTGCGTGCCATGCGTATGCGTGCGCGGGCGCGTCGGCCGGCGAGGGAGCAGCAAACGGCCGGCGGCGGGCGCCGCGCGGGGGGCGGGCGGCGC